TTGTATAAAGTGAGAGAGGCGAGTGAGAGAGCGAGATCTGGGAGAGGGGAGAGAGGGGAACGAAAATATATGTATATATACAATTTTCTCTCGCTTTATACACTTGCGTTTGTATAAAAAACGAGAGAGGCGAGGGAGAGAACGAGAGTGGCGAGCGAGATTCACCAGGAGAGAGGTGAAATAACAATAGTTTGCTATGGAGTACAATTAAATCAAACTATATTTATAGCATTTAATTTGAATTAATAGTTTGCTATTATATACAATTTTCCCTAAAAAGAATGTGTCTAATAAATTTAAACAAAAACAAATTAAATAGAAGAAATGGAATAAAAGGGAAAAATAATGAAAAAGAAGAAAAAGGTCTAAGCCCAAAAGTTCCATTTTCCAAAGCATTAAAAAAATAGGGGGAAAATGTTGCCCAAGGGATTTTTGAACCCGTGACCTAGGGGCATATCTTGAACCACTTATCCACTAAGCCAAGCCTGTACATTATTTTGAGGTGGTTCATTTTAAATATATACCCATAAAATCAGAATTTGACGTTATATATAGTGTAATTTTTTGACAAGGGGGTTCAGGTGAACCCCTAGAGTCCACCTAGGTCCGCTCCTGTTTGAGCGTGCTCATAGCCTCTTAAGAAATTATTTGCATTTGACTAATTATTTTTTTCACTAGTTAATTATCTTGAATGAATATAGTGAATTTATTGTGTCCTTATTATAATTGTAATTCAGATAGGTAAGATACAATTTTTATATATTACATACATATTATCATTTTTCCCCGATCATCTCCAAATTCATAATATTACCAATTCAGTCCTTAAATATTAGATTCTATATGTTTTCCATTGCTCTCCTCAAATTATGAGTATATAATTGGCTAACATGTATTGGACTGTTTACCTGTCTGGACATTGATGTATGACATACATTTTGTTTGTTGACTTACTAAATGATTGCCTATTGAGGACAGTTTGCTAATATGGCTTAGTTACTCTCTTACTTTCTCATATGTTCCAGACTGAGGAGTCAGTTCACTGGGGTAAAGAGTGTTTAATCCTAGTCAGAATTATCTATATAAACCTCTTCTTCATGTACCAATGTAAATCCAGTTGACTAAAAACTTGTATCTTACCCAGTCCCACACTTATGATTGTAGTTCCAATCATATATCAAGTTTACCGTGAATTACGTGATGGAAAGAGCTTTGCAACACGAAGGGTGGATGCAATTCAGAAAGGGAATATCGTATTCACATTGGTAGCCTCATTTCAGGTGATTATCAGCCTTTCATCAAGTCGGTCACATCTTAGCAATACCTTTTTTTATGGCTCACTTTTGTAATTCAGCGTAAATGTGTCCCCTAGATTTATATGATTTTCTTTAGCAAGTTGATTAGATTCATGCGAAAGCATGAACTTGCATGCCATGTAATGAGTATTTGTGGTAGAAATACAAATTGTGAAAAAAAAGCATTCAGGAGGAAAAAATCAACATAGAAAGCTTAGTTTTGAATGAATTCAACATAACTTGGATTTCTTTTAAACTATTGTTCACCTTCTTCATCAACCTTCAAATCTCACAAAATTATGAAGAAAGTTGAAAGTTAGCAAGCTTCACTAGTGAAGACAATTGGATCGGCTCATCAACTTTCAATCATTTCTGAAATGCTTTGTTCTGCTCGTTTTTTATCCTACCATGGAATACCCTATTATGATCTTTTCCTGGTTCAACTGCTGCCCCCACAAAAACCCTAGACTTACAATGATGATTGAGACTTTGATGGATCACTTGTTTTTGCTTGGAATACTGCAGTAACTTTTTGGTCAAATGCAACTTTATGTGACACACTTTTATGTGTTCATTACACCATTATCTTTATACTGGTTGTTATGTTTGTAATATTTTTCAAGATGAAGATGGATTTGATCAGGAAGCAAAAATGCCTAATGTGCCTAATCCAGAAATGGTAACCTTCTTACAATTCCATGAGCTCTGCTATATCTGCAACTGTGCTCCAAGCCGCTTCTCCTTACGCTTTCGTTGAAATCCAATTACAGCTTTTATCACTGGAAGATTTGAGAGAAATGCGCAAGACTATCCTCGGCTTCCCAGGTCAGACTCTGCTCGTTGTTATGCTGTCATGCTATGATGTTTTAAATTTGTTATAATTTGGTGCACACGTATACTATCTGATAATGTATTGTAAATAGTGTGGTGCATAAGCTTTAAAGTATTTGCCTCGAGGAAACCATTTACATTACTGAACTTGTGTCTTTGGAAGTGTAACTTCTCCAGCATGAGTTGTCTTATATCTCTTGAATACTTTGGCTTCAAAATGGATGCAGTAGTACACGTTTTTGCTTAGTCCCGAGTCTCATTAAATAATTCTCTCTGCAAGCCTGACTTTTCAGGACATATCATATGTCCTGAAATCTGAAAATTAGAAGATGCATAAAGCTTTTTTATTCTGTTTGTGGTTATTTATTTTTGGGATCTTTGGTTTGGTGATACTAACAGTGAATTTTGACAGGACATACCGAAATAAGGTTGCTACTGCAAAATTTGTACCCTGGCCAATAGAAATAAGGTTTTGTGAACCTAATAATGCCACTAGTCACACCAAGTCTCCTCCAAGGTTAGCCATGCTTTCAGCTATCCGTTTCCCTTCTGCGGTAGCAACTATAATTAACCAAACTTAAAGTTCATGTAAGCTTGTATATAGTAGTATCCTCATTATGTTTGCGTCATCTCTTTCCTACACAGTTTGAGATATTGGTTCAGAGCAAAAGGAAAACTTTCAGATGACCAGGCCTTACATAGGTAAGCTATCAGTTCTTTCATTTAATTAACTGAGCTCATAATTAAAAGGAGCAAAGCAGGCAGTTTAGCAGCCTTATCTTATCTCAGCGAGAGACTCTCATGAGTAGATTTGTTATTGAGCTAGAGAAAGAGTTCTAATGGACACTGGTACGAAATGAACACAAGTTTGTTATCTGGACTTCTCTGGGTATACTCCCACTTGGGACCATGTATAACTAATATTAGTGCCTCAAAATTGTATATTTTTCTTTCAAAATCATGTTTCTGCCTTGTAGGTGCATATTTACCATCAAAAGGGTACATAAAAGAAATTAAAATCAGGAACTTGTACTTTTTTAGCATACAGAAGTTTTTATAGTTATGCAGAATGAGGCCATATTGCAGTCTGCATCTTTTAATGCAATATTTATGCTGGTTGCAGCATATGCATCAGATCTAATCTTTAATACAGTCAATCTGAATCCTCATCGAAGGAAGGGTTTCAAGGTCTGGATCATTCGTGAGTTCCAACAACTCTTAGACCATTTTGTTAATGTACCAGCTTTATATTATGGGAAATATGTCAATGTTTGCCGGAGCAGTTTATATAATTTCTTCGTGAAATGGTTCCCAACTCTTTCCATGTTATCACCAAATCGTTTATGTCCTTTATCTTTAGTTAAAGACAGACATTTGACATGCAACTGTACTTATATTTCCACTTATGTTTACCTTTTCCAGGATTTGGTTCCACGGACCTTTGAGAGCTGATGATTGGATATTGTTTGTGGTAAGAAGCAAAAGTTAAAAAAACTTATGATGTTTTTTAAGAATTGTCTTACTTTTATTAGTGGTTTCCATTACTAGCAGCCTTCGTTCTAACTATTTATCATTTTATAGATGCACAGTCCGACTGCTTATAATGCACGTGGCTTTGTGACGGGCCAAATGCTTATTAGGAAGGGAGAGGTAAAGTACTAGACCTGACAAGTGTTGATGTCTGAGCTACCAATGTCTTTTATATGTTCTTGCTTTGTTAATGTGCTTATTGTTAATGCTTTCTAATCTCCAGATTGTAGTGTCACTGACTCAAGAGGCCTTATTGAGGCCAGCCAGAAAACTACCTGCATTCCAACCAAAGCTCTAATCCATGTCAGGTCCAATGAAAAAAGAGGACTAGGTAAAACTGCAGAAGAGCTTGAATAAGTTTTATAGAGGTCGCAAATTAGAATAAGATAGTTGTTTTGATTATGGAAGAGTCCAGATCATATGACGTATCTATATTTTACAACTATTATACAGAATTACCCCATCATTGTCTCTGTACCTCGCATCTCACCTTTATAGATTGCCCAGCCAGAAGAGGCATTCCCATCGCTACATTGATCGATCTATGATTGTTTTAAGTTAAAAGTTATTGTGTTTTTACAAGTTTCATCTTTTCCATTCACTATTAGGATAAAAATGTTGCAAACAAGCTTTGATTTCGAAATGCCATGGGTTAAATTTCTTTAGTTCACTATCCATTTTATGTCGAGTAATATACGGAGTAACTTTCGATATACCATAAAAATAAGGTTTTAATAAATATTCAACTATTTAATATACAAACTATAGAACCAACATTATACCAACAATTATTACAATAATGTATATCTTTAAAAATACCAATATATAAAGGGAAATTTTTCAAAATGTCAATATTTTAACATTTAATAGGATTCATTGTCAATACTTTCAATATTTAGTAAAAGCATCAGAATTTTAGTTTAATATGTATCTTACTTATTTAAGTTTTTATTATTTGTTTTATTTAAAGAATACAATTATTAAATAATAGAAAGGAGAAATTTAGGGGAGAGAAATTTTTAAAAAAGGAACAATTGCTTAAAAGTCTCATCAGTTACAGAAATTCAAAACTAAATACAAATTCAAAAAAAAAAAAACACAAAGAACTCATCCCACTTGTTCATCAAATTTCTAATATCGATTTTTAAATTTTCATTGATAATACTCAATTTATGTTGAAATGAATTTGATTAAATCGCATTTTTTTTATATCCAACCATGGCTTCAACGGATTAGCTTTTAGAACCAAAATCGACTTTTGTGAAGAAGAAGAAAAAAAGAGAGAGAATCGGAGAAGAAGGTTGCAAAGAATGAGAGAATGGAGAAGAAGGTTGCAAAAATTGTATTCATATTAATTTTTGTTTGTCAATTGTTTTTCTTTTACTCAACATTTATATTTTTATTAAGAACATTGTAATTTTTTTTAGTTTGTAGTCATTCCAGTTGGTATGCCAAATTGATTTGTATTTCTTAAACATAGATGTATCATATTTCTTTCAC